CCAGAATTCTCCAGCAGTGGTTAGGACAGTGTTTCTCAACCTTGGCAACTTGAAGATGTCCGGACTTCAACTCCCAGAATTCTCCAGCAGTGGTTAGGACAGTGTTTCTCAACCTTGTCAACTTGAAGATGTCCGGACTTCAACTCCCAGAATTCTCCAGCCAGCAGAGCTGGCTGGAGAATTCTGGGAATTGAAGTCCACAAGTCTTAAAGTTGCCAAGTTTGGGAACCACGGAGGTAGAGCATTCCAGCCAGTGCTTCCCAACAGCCACTTGAAAACGGGACTTCAGTTCCCAGAATTCAAGGTAATGAGGTACGACTCTTGAAGCATCCCCGTGGTCACATGATCAAAATTCAGATGCTTGGCAACTGCTTCGTATTTATGACGGTCGCTGTGTGTCCCAGGGTCAGGCGATCCCCTTTTGCGACCGTTATACAAGCAAAACCAATGGGGGGGGAACCAGATTCACTTAGCAACCGTGTGGCTAATATAACCACTGCAGAGATTCACTTAACGACCGTGAAAAGAAAGGTCGTAAAGTGGGGCCAAAACTCACTTAACAACTGTCTCGTTTAGCAACGGAAATCTTGGACTCGGTTGTGGTTATAAGTCGAGGACTTCCTTCAAACTGGAAACGCTGGACAGTATCTTGCTGTCCCGCAAGTCCCAGGCCGGCTTCTTCGGGAGAAACTCCAGAGACTCTTAGTAAATTCCCTCCCGTGGGAAAAGACTTGGCTCCGCTCGCTCGCTCACGGACAGGAGAGGGTTAAACAAAAAAGCGCAACGGAGGCTATTTGGTTTGTCCCTTTTCCATTGCCGTACGGAAGGCAACGGCCTCTCTCTGCTCATTGGTCGGCGCTGTTGCAGCAACTGAGAAGTCCGATAGGCTCCTCCGAGCCCAGCCCCGTCACGCCCATTTCTCCCCTTGCCCTTTCTTGAGATGGGCAAGCAGCTCCTTCACGAGGCGAGCGACTTTGCGAGCCTTTCACTGGACGCTCCCTCTGCCGATCAGGCGAGGCTCATTTCCATTGGCCGGATCGCGCTCCCAGCGTCGTAACTCCGCCCCCGCGCCGGCCAGGCTCGAAGGAGCGATGGCGGCCGAGGCGAGAGGCGCGGCAGCCCGGGATGCGGCAGGTGGGGAGGGGACAGGGTGGGGGTCGCCACGACACGGGTGGGCGGGAAATGGGTCGGGGGGCTCCGCTGACCCCCCCCCTCCCCGCGCTGGGTCCCCTTGGCAGGGAGGGCTGGGGCTGCCCCCTTGCCTTGCCCCTCCTGGGGGTCCTGCGGAACTGCCTGCCACGGGAGAGGGAGTGAGCGGGGGCTGCTTCTCCCCTTCCCCTGCAGAGAAGGCGCGGGGCAAGCAGGCTGCCCTCTCCTTCGCCGCCATGGCCGTCCTGGTGGGGCTGCCCCTCTGGTGGAAGACGACCGAGACCTACCGGGCGGCGCTGCCGGACTCCGAGATCGCCGAGCTGGAGACGCTTCTGGTGAGAAGGGAGGGACCCCCGGCCCCATCAGCCCCGGCTGTAGTCCAGGGACCCTGGGGCTGTTGGCTGTGCTAGAGACGGGCAGCTTCCAAACTCTTCTCCCTTTGCCCAGGGGGCGGTCCTCGATTTAACAGCCGTTCGTTTAGTGACCGAAGTTGCAACGGCACAGGAGGGAGGGAGGGAATTGGGGAAGGTCTGTGTGTTTCTCCCCCCTCCCCCCATTGCTCCTCCTGCCCTTTGCTAGGGAGCCCCTGGCTTTGTCCCTTAAGGTTGCATCCACAGGCAGCAAGAAAACAGCCGATCCTCGACTTATGACCACACTTGGAATCGCAGGCTTTCTGTGGCTAAGCAATGCAGTCAGTCACGTCCAATTTCAGGGCCTTTTCTGCCACGTTTAGCCCAAGAATCAGAATAGAGCAGGAAGGGACCTTGGAGGTCTTCTAGTCCAGCCCCCTGCTCAGTCAGGAAACTCTGTACCTTTTCTGGGGGCAAATCGTTCCACTGGTTGATTTTTCTCACTGTTGGGAAGTTTCTCCTTAGTTCCAGATTGTTCCTCTCCTTGCCCTGCCTTTAGGCCAGTGTTTCTCAACCTTGGCAACTGGCTGGGGAATTCTGGGAGTTGAAGTCCGGACATCTTCAAGTTGCCAAGGTTGAGAAACACTGCTTTAGGGACTTTCAAGAATAAGCAGATCATTGCAGTTGTTAAGTGAATCACACGGTTGTTAAATGAATCCAGCTTCCCCTATTGCTTGACAGAAGCCAGCTTGGAAAGTTGCAAATGCTGATAACGTGACTCCAGGACTCTGCGACCATCATCATAAACACAGGCCGGNAAACCCGCGGGGGCTTCTTCCCGTCCCGCGCAGGGAGCATGGCCAAGCGGCTGAACCAGATCGGGGTGGAGAACACGGAGGAGAACCGCCGCCTCTACCGCCAGATCCTCTTCAGCGCCGACAGCCGGGTGAAGAAATGCATCGGGGGGGTCATCTTCTTCCACGAGACCCTCTACCAGAAGGCGGACGACGGCACGCCCTTCGTGGACCTGATCAAGGACAAGGGCATCGTGGTCGGCATTAAGGTGATTCCCGGGATCCCCCCCCCTTGCAATCTCTGCCCTCCCCCCCCTTCCCCTCAAAGCGCCTGAAAAGATGGGGAGCGTCCCCCACTGCAGGGGGAGGGAGAGAGAGAGAGAGAGAGAGAGAGAGAGAGAGAGAGAACGCCGGTTCTGGGTTCGGATCCTGAAGACAGGGCTGGTTGATGGCTCAGAAGCAGCTTCCAGCCCCCCCCCCCAAAAAAAGCAGGTCTGTTGAAGGAAGAACAGAAGAACAGAGGGGGAGAGGTCTGGGGGGGTCTTCCAGCCCAGTTCTGGTCCATCAGATTCCTATAGGAAATCAGCCGCCTCCCTCAGCTCTCTCGGCAGCCGTGAAATTGGGGTCCACCTGCTGCTCTGCGGCCCAGGAGGGGAGGGGGCTGAAGCCCACCCGGGTTGGCCCATCGGACCGAGAACCCACTGGCCCAGGGGGAGAGGAGCTGAAGGGTCCCATTCCATGAGCCAACTAGGGAACATCATCAGTGATGGAACTGAATGGGGTTTGCTCCCTTGTCTATCTGTCTGTCTGTCTGTGTCTGTCTGTCTGACCCTCTATGTCTATCCGTTTATACCTACCTACCTGCACGAGTGGTTTCCCCTGCCTAAACAGGGAGTGAACCTCACCCTCCCTGGCACTGAGGGTGTTCCCTAGTTGGGTCATGAAACGTCTGCCAGGAAGCAGCCAAGCTCAGAGACCACCCAGGAGCCACAGATGGGAGAAGAGCTGGTGCTCATTTTGGGGGGAGCCACCTGGGGTGGGGGATGGGGGAAGGGAGGCAGAAGCCCCCGCTTGCTCACCTGGACGATCCTGACGCAGCCGAAGCCGTCTGGATCCCCCTCCCCCCTCGCGGGCCCAGAGCGGAGTCAGGGCAGGAGGAGGCCCCCTCCCACGGGCAGCCCCCCCTGCAATCCTCCCCGTGGGGGTCCTGCAGCTCTGACGGGGTCTCCGCTTCCTTCCTTCCCAGGTGGACAAAGGGGTGGTGCCCCTGGCCGGCACGGATGGAGAGACCACCACCCAAGGTAGGAGAAGGGGTGGGGGGGCATAGGGAGGTGGGGGGGAGCCCCTCCCTTGGATTTGGTCTGTGCTCAAATCAGGCCTTGGTGGGGCAGAAGGTCTGGACTCTAGATGGTCTTTTCCTTCCTTCTCTCCCTTCCCTCGCTCCGGTTCCTTTTCTCCTCCCTCCTTTTCCCCTCTACCATCCTTTCTTCCTTTCCTCCCTTCGTCCTCCCTCCCTGCCCTCTTTCTCCCTCCTCCCACTGTCCCTTCTTCAATTTTCCTTCCCTCCCTCTCACAATTCCCACCTTCTCCCTCCCTATCTTCTTTCCTCCCTTCCTCCCTCCTTCCTTTCTTTCCTCCTGTCCTCCCTCCGTTCCCCATCCCTCTATCCTTCTCCATCCCTCCTTCCTTTCTTATTCCCTCCCTCCCCCCCTCCCTTCCACAATTCCCACCTTCTCCCTCCCTCCCTTTCCTCCTCCCTCCTCCCTCCTTCTTCCCCTCCCTTCCCCCTTTCATCTTTTCTCCCTCCGTCCCCTCCCTCCTTCCCTTCTTTCCTTCCTCCCTCCCTCCTTCTTCCCTCCATTGCTCCCTCTCTCCTTCCTTTCTTCTTTCCTTCCTCCCTCCATTCCCACTTCCCACCCTCCTTCCTTTCTTTTCTCCCTTCCTTTCTTCTTTCCTCCTTCCCTCTTTCTTCCCCCTCCCTTCCCCCTTTCATCTTTTCTCCCTCCATCCCCTCCTTCCCTTCTTCCCTTCCTCCCTCCCTCCTTCCCTCCATTGCTCCCTCTCTCCTTCCTTTCTTCTTTCCTTCCTCCCTCCATTCCCCCCTCCCACCCTCCTTCCTTTTTTTTCTCCCTTCCTTTCTTTCTTATTTCTTCCATTCCCTCTCCCTCTCCTTCCTCCCTCCGTTCTCATCTCCTCCCTTTCTTCCCCTCTCCTCCCCCTCTTCTTTCCTCCCTTGCTCCCTCCCCTCCTTCCTCCCTCCCTCCCTCCTCCCTCCATTCCACCCTCCTTCCTTTCTTTCCTCCCTCCCTCCTCCCTCCATTCCCTCCCTCCATTCCCCGCATTCCTTCCTTTCTTCTTTCTTCTCTCCTTCCCTTTTCCCTCCCCCTCCCTCCCCTCTTTCCTCCTCTCCCTCCTCTTCCTCCTGCCAGGGCTGGATGGTCTGGCAGAGCGCTGTGCCCAGTACAAGAAGGATGGCGCAGACTTTGCCAAGTGGCGCTGCGTGCTGAAGATCAGCGACAACACCCCCTCTGCCCTGGCCATCCTGGAGAACGCCAACGTCCTTGCCCGCTATGCCAGCATCTGCCAGCAGGTCAGGCTCCTGCCCCCTACCCCTGCCCCTTTGCCCAGGGTTTTCAGGGCACCGTGGCGCCCACGGAGGTCTGAGACCTTGGCTTGGCTTCCCCTGCAGAATGGCATCGTGCCCATTGTGGAGCCGGAGATCCTGCCCGACGGGGAACACGACCTGAAGCGATGCCAGTATGTCACCGAGAAGGTGGGGCCGCCTCGCCTGGTGGACGATGGGGCTCGGAGTAGAGTTGGAGGGCTGTCCATGCAAACCCAGGGAAGCCGGCACGGAGGGGGGCAGGGGAGCTCTGGACTCTCTTCCGCCAGAGCCAGGCAGGGGCGATCCGGGTCCCAATTCACGGCAGCACAATGGATTGCTCGGAGCCCGTTGCTCTTTGGCTGAACAGTGGGAAGCTGAGTGTTTGGGGGGGGAAGACACGGAAGGGAGGCGCCCTCTGCGATGCCGCCGGGGATCCTTAAGAGCATGGAATTAACCAATGCGCAGCTCTCTACCGCAGAGCTCTCCAACGGCGGCCACTTTAAGCCCGGCAGACTTCAACTCCCAGAATTCCCCAGACAGCTTTGCTTCCAAGCAGAGTGTAAAACGCCAGCAAGGCTGAACCCCTCCGTCATTTACTGCACAGAGGCTGGAATAAGCAAAGCTGGCTGGGGGAACTCTGGGAGTCGCAGTCCGCCGGGCTTAAAGTGGCCGAGGTTGGAGAGCCCTGCTCTGAAGCAGAGAGCCAAATGCCAACAAGGCTGAACCCCTCGGTCATTTACTGCACAGAGGCTGGATTAATAGAGGTGCTTAACGGGAAATGGTTTTTGGGTGACCTTTCTGTGATTCCCCTTAATTCCCTGGCGGTTGTTTGTGGCCCCTGCTCCCTTGGTGGCCGGCCCCTTCGAGGCTGACCGGCGTGGCTCTGGCCCTCTTCCCAGGTTCTGGCTGCCGTCTACAAGGCCCTGAGCGACCACCACGTGTACCTGGAAGGGACTCTGCTGAAACCCAACATGGTGACCCCTGGCCACGCCTGCGCCACCAAGTACAGCCCGGAAGAGATCGCCATGGCCACCGTCACCGCCCTGCGCCGGACGGTGCCACCTGCCGTGCCAGGTAAGGTCACCACCCAGGTAAGCTCCCACACCTGTCCCTGGTGCAGAGGAAGCCGCCCGTCTTGGGCTGGGTCAGAAGATTATTCCGGAACAATTCTGTTTTGCTTCAGCTTCTCCTGGCCGGTCCAGGAGGGATCAGGGAAATCAGGCAGTCCTCGCATTACGGCAATTCACTTAGTGATGGTCCGAAGTTATAACTGCACTGGAAAAAGGGACTTTTTCACACTTACGACCAATCCCCATGGTCAAGCGATCAAAATTCAGCTTCTGGGCAATGGACTCATATTTATGACGGTTGCAGTGTCCCGGGCTCATGTGATCCCTTTTTGCGACCTTCTAACAACCGCAGCGATTCACTTAACAACGGTGGCAAGAGAGGTTGCAAAACGAGGGCAAAACTCACTTAACAACTGTGTCTTGCTTAGCAACAGAAATGTTGGGCTCTCTTGTGGTCCTGGGTCGAGCCTGTATTACACCCCCCCAGGAGTTTTAGCTTATGGCTTCTAGTTTGAATCCCTGGAACTCACTGCCACTGGACGATGAATGGGCCGCTGCCAACTGGGAGGCCTCAAAGGGGCCGAGAGAAATCCCGGGAGGCCTTTGAAGCCTTAGG